ATATATATATTACCAGTTTAAACTGGATTAAACATTAAAGGATGTTGCAGGTTGTTCATGAACATTAATCATTCTCAGAAACAGGTCAAACAAATTTGGTGATATAAACATGACAGTGTAAAAAAATTTATAATTTAAAGTAGAAAACAGATTTTTGATTGCAGCATTAGTAAAGTAAAAGTGCTCAGTATCACAGTCTGTGTTTGGCATTAATTTAGATTATTTGCGTCAGTTACACCCATCTGTGTTTGCTTCTTTTTCCTGCTCCACTGTTTGGCCACTCCCACCCTCACCTGATCCTGGTTGTCTCTACGCAGGTGTTGATTGTTTGGCTTCATTAGTTTGTTTGTCTTTATATTCGCTGTTCCTCAGCTCTCTGTTTCACTGTCAGTCTTGTTTGCTTGTGTCTGGTCTCCATGAGTTCGGTTCTGTAGGCTTGTTTTTTTTTGAGATTCTGTGTCCAGAGGTGTTTGTCTGCACTTTGGGCTCAAAATCACCATCCACCATGACATTAAAAGCCTCAATTGATGGGATAAAATAAAAAAATAAAATAAAATAAAATAAAATAAAAACTGACAAATGTGGTCATGAGGCTCTGGTTTGTGGTTGAAACATGTTTCTTGACACACCAATGATACAATTTATTAAATAAAAATGCAAAATGATCAGAATCAGCCTTAAATTAAATATATGTACTTTAATGACCACAAAATTTAACCTTCATTCACAATAAGATTCAGTTTTTATTTGCTAAAATACTCATCCTTCAGTCATCATAAAATGTGATTCTTATGAGTTCATATTTAACACATTCAGACTGCAAAGAAACATAAGACAAGAATTCAACACATTTTTATTACCTAATAAAAATAACCAGGCTGCAGGTCAGGTTTTAAAATGACAATACATTTTAATAAAAGCTGATGAACAAAACAAAAGGCTTTTATAATAGAACACTGAAGCAGATAAACCTTCTCAGTAACTCAACATAAAGATGAATTTAATCATTTTATTTTTCCACATGAATCCTTGCTGTAATAATGACTTCAGTCATGCACATTTTGCCACTGCTTTGTTGCAGATTTCTGGATGATCCAGTCAGGAATTTCAGCAGGTTCTGTTTTAAATCGGAGAAAATCTTCTTTCTGAAGCTCATGATGTTTTTTTTTTTTTTTTTTTTTTTTTTGCTTTAGCTTAAAAAACACATCACGAGTGATAAAATCTGATACCAACTAAAGTTAACGGAGCGGATAATTTCACTACAATAAGTACCTTTTAGCTACCTTTTAAAAGTTAGTTTTTATATGAAATGACGCATCACATTTTAAMTATTTTAATAAATTACAAAATAGATGGACATGGAGGTAGTTGGAGTGAAAAGAGAGGACAGAGTGAGATGGAGGAGGATGACTTCCTGAAGAGGGAACAGCCGAAAGAAGAAGAGGAAGAAGTAATATGATAACACACTTTTGTYGTTTTAACTTGAAAATTAATTTCAGGATTCAAACCTTTATCATATTAAGTCTTTTGCTGTTAAAATTAAAACATATTCACAGTCATACTATTAGAAAAAAAAAGGTCTGGACCACAGAAAAATGTTCCATCCAATTTTAACGAGCCAGAGTCTTTAATAATCAGCAATAAATATTCTGAAATTTATTGAAACAGCAGGTTTTTTTTCTTTCTCCCCCAAGTCTGAAATGAACATCAGTCAATTCATTTACCTTATCTAGCTGCCTCTTTCACTCAGACGGTTATTTAACTGAACWTTATTGAAATGAAATGGGAGTTTATCCTCTTTACTGAGAGAGAAAATTGGAYTTTTTTACTTCTTAATTTCTAAAAGCTGTGACATTTGATAAACAAAMAGTAAAGCCTTAAGTAAATGAAAAAGTGTAACCTCTGTGACATCATTAAACTTCTCATTAGGCTGCAGTGATGTTTCATGAATATTCATGGTCAAACACTGTAATAAGGCTGAGATTATTAGGTGATTGTGTGCCAACAGACCAATCAGAGATTTGTGGGGGGGGATTGTCATAAAGACATCTGCCACAGACGAGCGATGAACGCTCAAAGCAATCCTTCCCGTGACAGGAGACTTTAAGACTCTTTGCAGGAGAAAAGTTTAAAACATGTCTGGACTCGAACTTTATTTAGCAGCGGTTCAGCCTCTGGTGGTCTCTTTCCTAATCTGATCCGTCCTCGTTGCTCCCTAAACCCTCAACATCTTCAGCTGGGACACTTCCTGCTCTGTCTGCTGTCTTTCTGTCTCCGAACCAAACAGCACCACTGGTTTCACTGCACTCTTGTAAAGCTTCCTTTAAACCTTTGCTGCCATACTTGTGTCTCCTCAGATATGAATAACCAAAACTTACACAAAACTGTGATGTTGTGAACTTGTATCAGAAAAAAAGAGACAAGTTTCTGCACAACTCTCTCTGACTTGAAAAAGAGTTGTATGTTCATTTTTACATACATGCCTGTAACTTGTCAAACATAAGGCCCGGGGCCCAAATTTGGCTCTTGTTACCATTTTGTCCGGCCCCAAACTTGTAAACATAAAACGGTTTTATGGTATTTGTTTTTGTCTCTGTCTTCAGAGCATTGTTCTCATGACAGCTGGCCAACTTTCAAGCCAAGAAAATGAAGTCTGATTTTTATTTTCAGTCGGTTAAATCTTTGATTTTGGTGTGAAAAGAGCAACAGRGAATCAGTGTCAAATAATTGTACTTTTAAGTGAGTTTTCTTTTKATATCTGATTTGCTGGATTGTGATCAAATGTATCTCTAACGCTTCTTTCATAAGACAGTTCAGTAAGATCGTCGCACAGACCGGTCTGGCTTTGAGCTCCCTCGGGTCATTCACAAAAGCACAGGAGAAGCCGGCCAGGTCCCGCTCACATGTATGCGTTCAGAAACGAACCCAGCAGCGTGGAACCAAAAGAGGCGTTTGAGCAGATCTCAGAAGGGAGCTCACTTTACTCGTCTTTCTGCCTTCGTGTTTTTTCTGAGTGATCCAAAGAGGACCGAACACGCTTCAGTCCCGGACCGAGCTGTCTTACGAATGAGGCTTAAGAAATAATAAATGAAAAGGTCGTTGATACAGCGAGGCAAGGATACTAATGATGACTCTAAGTTTACTTTTTTTATATGTTAGCTTATGCWTGTTCTAAATGCTACATAAAACATAAAGTGGAMAATGTTAYTTGTATTTTTATAGGAATAATTTCTTATGTAACTTTTTTCAATAACTTGCTCTCAGCTTGGACCAAGTATAGAATTTTGGTCCCCTTGTGTAACTGGGTTTGACCCCCCTGGTGTACTTCATGCTGTTAGAAAAATGCTTCAACAACCCTTTGGCTGCATCACTCGTTGCCTGAGGTGTGGCCACGCGACAGGATGAGATAATCAAACCCTCTCTGACACTCGTGCATGGGTCTCAGCCAAACACACAGACAAACAAATAGCTTTTGTACCATAAATAAAGCATCTCTACACGTCACCCCACAAAAAAACCCATTCAGCTAATCAARCTGCGTCTGTTCGCCTGCTTCTCTGCAGAGCTGAGGGCTTCATTTGAACCCAGTGCATTATTTTTAGCTCTCTGTCTCTGCAAGTCCTGGTGAGTGTGGAGAGACCTTTGTTTCACTGTTATTGTGACTGAAGTAAGAGCMAGGCAGCTAAACGCCAAACCGCACGTTTTACACACACTTAAAGCAAACGGATTGAGCCGTGCATCTGCAGATGCATCCACTCACACGCCAACCACTGCTCCTGTAAAATACGTTATTTTTTTTAGTTTCATGTAAGCACATCCCAGAGCACAGAGTTTCCTCCTGACATCATGAGCTCCTATGTTTTTAAACTTTTGTTTTGTTTTGAAGCAGGGATGAAGTTAATGAGCTCCTTCACTGCGTTAAAATGTGCCA